CCCTATCGTTGCTCTCCACCCTAGTTGCTGATTTCCGCCATGGTGGGGGTTGGCAGGTAGGTGTGGCTTCCTAGAGAGTACAAGTTTTGCAGCCACCGTATGATGTCGTCATCGAAAGGGGACTTCCACGATTTTTCCTTGAGTCTTGTCCATACAGTTACTGCCACAGTCTGCAAGTCTGGACTCCGACTTGCAATGCAGGAGAGAAGCTCTTGCCGCATCAGGAGCCTCGTGCACAATCATTTGCCTGGCTACCGTTGTTTACCATAGTAAAAAGGTTTCCAACAAGAGGAAAGCACCCGTGGTGACCTGTGGTGGAAAGGTGAGTCTCCGATGACGAGCGCTCTTTGTGTGTGATTTGTGTAGCTGCTTTTTCGGGTGTCGGTGCATTAAGCTGGTCGGCTCGTCGGACCCCTCTGCAAGGGTAACAGCCTACTGGACTCTGTCGGAGTTGTGTTTGTATGTTAAGCTAGACAGTAATCCTTTTTCAGCGAACGTGGCCGGTACGTGTTGGTTTACAACTGCCACCTTGGTAGTCCTTAAAATTTGTCACATTGACAGTTGATGTTGTAATGCGTTTGAAGGCAATAGCCTACCGCACGCTTAGAAGAGGTGTAGTGGGCATAAGTAAGAATCAGAAAATTGTGCCAGAGGGGAAGAGGTATCAATTGTGTGAGAGCCATTGTCTTCGAGCAGAAAGTTGCATGATGCTCGTTGCATGGTCACTGCTGGAGCCGCTTAGATTATCGGTCGTATGATGTGCAGTCTATCTGCCAGGAAGATTGGGTGAGGCGTCACAATATGACACTAGTTGCAGCAAAGTGGCAAAGTTACAGAACGCCTTCAATGCAGACTCATTGTCAGATTGAAGAGAGCTTCTATGCAATTCCGGTCTGGAACGCAAAAGCCTATCAACCCCATTGATTTGACTGGCAGGGTTTCGCTTTGCAGATTCCCCCCCCGATTTTGGAGCCACCTCAAAGGACCATGGCCATGCAGGTCACACCAGCCCTGCTTGTGAGGATGCTGCTCCTGGTGACCCTGTACGGGTGCGGGCTCCTAAGCGCTGTCCACTCACTTACTATGGAGGAGATTGGCAGTCTAGTTCAGGGCCCCCTCTGGAATCAGAGTAACATCACTCTCTCCTATAAGCAACTGTCAGGTCCAATTCCCCCTGAGCTCGGCAGCCTGACCAACCTCACCACGCTCGACCTTTCCAGAAATACATTATCAGGTCCCATTCCCAACGAGCTCAGCAGCTTGACCAACCTCACCACGCTCGACCTCTACTACAACAGCTTGTTGTCCGGCCCCATCCCCGCGTGGCTCGGCAACTTGACCAAGCTCAGCTACCTTGATCTTTCTCAAAACTATCTCTCGGGCCCCATCCCCCCCGAGCTCAGCAGGCTTTCCAACCTCAACATGCTCGACCTCTCCAGCAATAGTTTGTTGTCGGGCCCCATCCCCCCGGAGCTCAGCAACTTGATCCAGCTTACCTCCCTTGATCTTTCTTACGCTAATCTCTCGGGCCCCATTTCCCCTGAGCTTGGCAGCCTGCCCAACCTCACCACGCTTTACCTCTACGCAAACAAATTGTCCGGCTCAATCCCCCCCGGACTCAGCAACTTGACCAAGCTCACCTATCTCAGTCTTTCTACAAACGACCTCTCCGGCCCCATCCCCCCTGAGCTCGGCAGCCTGCCCAACCTCACCTACCTTGATCTCGGATCAAACAGCCTCTCTGGTTCAATACCCCCCCAGCTCGGCAGTCTGAGCAAGCTTACTTGGCTCAATCTTCGTTATAACACCCTCTCCGGCCCCATCCCCGCTGAACTGGGCAGCTTGACCAGCCTCACCGACTTATACCTCTCCAACAACAACCTCTCCAGCCGAATGCCCCCTGAACTTGGCAGCCTGACCAGCCTCACCACATTATACCTCTACGCGAACGCCCTCTCCGGCCCAATTCCTCCTGAGCTCGGCAATCTGACCAACCTCTATTACTTAGACCTCTCCAACAACAGCCTCTCCGGCCCAATTCCTCCGGAGCTTGGTAGCCGAACCAAGCTCGTGTACTTCTTCCTCAACAACAACGCCCTCTCCGGCCCAATTCCTCATGAGCTCGGCAGACTGACCAACCTCACCTACTTACGCCTCTCCAACAACAGCCTCTCTGGCCCAATTCCTCCAGAGCTTGGCAGCCTGACCAAGCTCAAGAACTTACACCTTTGAAACAACGCCCTCTCCGGCCCAATTCTGCCTGAGCTCGGCAACATGACCAGCCTCTCCGGGTTATACCTCGACGACAACGCCCTCTCCGGCCCAATTCCTCTTGAGCTCGGCAACCTGACCCAGCTCTACTACTTACACCTTTACAACAACGCCCTCTCCGGCCCGATTCCGCCTGAGCTCGGCAACATGACCAGCCTCTCCGAGTTATACCTTGACAACAACGCCCTCTCCGGCCCAATTCCTCCTGAGCCCGGCAACCTGACCTACCTCAACTACTTAGGCCTCTACAACAACAGCCTCTCTGGCACAATCCCTCCAAGTCTCCTCAGAAGCAGATTCGGGAACAGATTCCCCAACACAAGTTTCTACCCTGGAAACTTCGGACTCTGTTGCACAACCTGCAACGCCGAATTCAACACACAGGTTGCATCAACCTGCTCATCATCGTCTCCTTCAGTCGGACGGGCCATTGTCGATAGAGTTATCACGGGAGCTGCTCTCGTCCTGGCCTTTGCAATTCTAGGGTACTGAATCTACCGTAGAAAGAGTTGGATGTCAAACTGGTACTCCCCCCGATACCCACAGTAATCTCAGCGTTGAAGCTACTTTGTAGGTAGTCGGACCCATGGAAACCTAGTTCGGAGACAACCATCTAGGGACGGTTTGGTTAGAGTGCCAGTTCGTGTTGTGTATCATATTGGACTTTATCAAGCCTTCTTTATTTCGTGGGGTAATTTCTGTTGTTTCTTTGTTTGCATAGGGCACATCCGTCGTCTCGCCGGGTATTCTTCTGATCGCTCTTGTCTCTTGGTAATGGACAACGATTTATATACGAAAAAGTTTCTCCTAGTACTTTATTTGGTTACCGTGACAAGTAGAAAGCCAAAGATTCAATGTAGCTATGTACTCAATGTAAGCTCGCAGGCTAAACATGTGGATTTGTCTGAGAAGTTGCTAATTGTTGGAGGATTGTTGGGCAATTTTTCTCGAGAATGGCCACCCGTATGATAGACATCGGGATCCCATATCCCATGCACACTGCTCACTGGCAACTTCCTATTTGAAGCCAGAAGTTCTAAAAGTAAAGCGCGGCCGCGCTGTGGCTGCATGCATAGTAACACGACGAGCTATAGTCACCTTAATCCATCGATTGATGATCTGCACATACATGCACGGTCAGGTAGCATACTAACTTAGCAATTAGACGGTGTGACTAGGGTAGATTGTCATGACAGAATTGAATGACGGAGCCGCATGCATCCGGAGGCACGTGGCTGACGGCCCGGCTGGCCACGACTCGAGATCTGGCAACCAAAGGCTGAGGTCGAATGAAAGCTAGCGAGATTGATGTCAAACAAGATGGCTATATGGTTTTTAGCCGGCGCCGGCTGTGTGACGTACGCAGTGCGTGGCCGCGGCCAATCCAACTTTTAGCACAACCGGAATTGGATTGTGGCTCGTCGATCGCAAGTCCAAGGCATTCTGCAACATTTGCAAAACGGTCGCAAAGTGATCCCAAAAGTGCGAATCGTGTAATACACGATAATCATTAGCATCCTAGGATTTTCCAAACAACGTGCTGATTGAATGATCGAAGCTGATCAAATGTGCTTGTAAACGGGATTGCTCAATCATTGAATGCAGCTATAATAAGTCGTCCAAAGCTTCGAGAATCTACTGTGACTACTTCATACCAACTCGCAGCCCTTGCACCGCTGCGATGCTGCTGCCCTGACTACTAAGCTGACTCTTCTGGCTACTCCACTTGGTATATACGGTACAACCGCCTAATAATCTTTTGGCGGTAGATAGATGCTCTTCCATGCGTCTCTTGAAAATAACACTAGGAAAACCGCGAGTACAAAGCTTTGCCACCTGGTGCGCCTGCAGGAAAGCCCCCGATGCGTAACCTTACCAGCTACACAAAATCGTTTCTCACCACCTAAGCAGGACCTTTGCTTGGCAGCCTCCGTTGAACCAAAAATCATTAGGTGGTTAAGCAACTGACTAGCTATTGCTTCATGAGCACGCCGGATCTGTCATCCTATTAACGAAACTCTCAACTCAATCTGGCCTGCAGCTGGCAACCAGTCTACACCGAGCATCACCTCAGCGCTCAGTACTCATAAATGCAACTCGCCGCACCATTCGGCGTGACTGTAGCGACGAACTTTCGCCCCTCGCACAGAACCTCCGCTACAGACTCGCCGTCTATTACCAGTACCAACGTCCGTTTAACGTTTTACCCAACACGTGTTCAAACTGAATCGCTAGCGTCTCGGGGCGCCTCTTTCTCGTCCCCGCCCCCTGCCTGCATCTTCTCCTGCAGCTTCAAAAACAGATTGCCCCCCCTGGCCGACTCCCGCCCTACTCTCACCCCCCGGGTCCCCCCATCCCCCGTTTCAACGTCCAACGATTTCACCTCCGTCCGGGGGGGTCCCACCGGCCGGCCGTGGTACACAAACGTTGGCCCCTGTGTTGCAAGCAGGGGGGTGTTGGTATTCGACGACGTACGCACGAGCCCTCCCCCATTCCCGAGTGGCGACGGAGCCCCCCGCGAGCCCCTTTGCGACAACCCCTCAATGTCGATAGTCAAATGACCCGGTCCTCCTCCACGATAAACACTCCCCCCGTGCACGGAACTCCCCCGCCGCGCGCCTCCCCGGTACGAGCCCTCCCCCCGATACGAGTTTCCCCCATGGTACGACCCCCCCCGGCGGGGCGAACTTTCGGAGAGGCTCCAGAACTTGGACCCGGCCCTGAGGGATCCCCCGCGGCGCGAATGAGGGGAAATATGGTCGAGCTCGTCGAAGGGCTTTGAGGCACTGCCCAGAATGGAAGTGATCGACACGCCGCCGTGATGCACGTGGCCGGGGCCGGAGACCGTCGTTTCGACGTCCTGTCGAGTTAAGATGGGAAGGTTTAGGTTTGGGTAGACCAAGAAGGTTACTGCCAGTTCCAGGACATAGTCCGCGAGCTTTGTACATGACAGAGCCGTAATTGAGCTGATCAAGGAAATGTTGGACGCGTGAAAACTAAAGCTCTGCGGCTGAGGTTCAATAGAGGTTTCCAGCCTAAGTACGACGAAAACGTTTTGCGACAACTAGACACCCGGAACTCGAAGGCCTTCTGAGCAATCCCCACGTCGCTAAGGAGAATCATCAGGGCAGAGATATTCAAGTCCTTGCAGATGGCCAAAAGTTCGGCCTTTGGCTACCTTTGAAAGAAGGAAACAAGAAAAACGGGACGATCCTGAAACCGCAGCCCGCTATCCGCAGGGAACGCCGAAACGACAAAACTCCGGCAAGCGAAACATGAAGCGTACCTGTTGAGATTCCATGAGCGGCGGCAATTCCCTCTCGTCCTCGTCTTTCTCGTCTTCGTCGATCTCGCCCTCCCGCCCCTCAGGCAGCGCACCGCTCGTCGTGAAGCCGTTGATCACGGGGGGATCCCTCGGGTTGCTGTTCGCGCTCGACAGCGCGTGGTCGACGAGGACGCTGGCCGGCACGTTGAACCAGAACGTGCTGCCGTGGCCGACTTCGCTCGTCACGCCGATTGTGCCCCCCTGGAAAAACACAGTTTCATGTTTTGTGTAAACTTTGTACAACTCGCGACATTGGATATGCATTCCTTCTTAAGCCAAGAGCACCTGGGAGGACACTGGATGCGTTACCTGGTGCCCCGTCTATTGGTCGAAAGGGTGAAACCAGAACGTGCTGTTGCGGCCGACCCCGCTCGTCACGCCAATGGTTACCCCCTGAACTACTGTGCGTCTGGTAAAGCTTGAAATCGAGGGCACCCGGAAAAACTTCAAGGTGAACATTTGACTGCCCCTTGAAAACTAAGCACGTATGTGGTCTGACGGCCCTTGATCGTGGTCGCCGGACTGGCCCAAAACGTCCTGCCGTTGGCCGACCTCGCAACAATGGCGCCTTCGCAAGAAAGCAACATGTTTCATCTTGATCCTCGGTCCACAATTCCTCCGAGAATCTCTCAAAGTTTGCCCTGTCGTGGGGACACTCTTGCCCAGACTTTCCACCCTCCCCAAAGAAAAAGTCGTGGGGGGCTTTACTAAAGACCAGTGTCGCTTACCTCGGACCCCCCCAGAGCAACAAGGGAACTTAGAAGTCTCCCAAAGAAAGGATGAAATCTAGAGCGCGTCTTACCATCAGATCTGCCAGCAGCTGGCAGATGTAGGGCCCCAGCCCCGTCCGCCCTTGGCTTCAGCCTCATCGTCGTGGGTCTCGAACAGATTCCACTCCACTTTTGCACATACTCCCTGACCCCCGAAGGAAAGAAACGGAAACACAACTTCGCGCCTCACCATCAGATCCGCAAGCAGTTCGCAGATGTAAAGCCCCAGCCCCGTCCCTTCGGAAACTTGGCCTTGTCGTGTGGTGTCTCAAAAACACCAATTCCTTGTTTGTCTTATCCCCCCGCTTATCCCTATCCCTCCCCTAATAAAGAGGTGGAAATAAACCACTGTGCCTCACCATTAAGTCTGCAAGAAGCTTGCAGATATAAAGCCCCAGCCCCGTGCCCCCCTGGAAATTGGCCTTGTCGTGCGGCGTCTCGATGAAGGGCATGAACACCTTGGCGCTCGCTTCTGACGTCATCCCGATCCCGTGGTCGATGACCTCGAAGCGCAGGCCCCGGTCGTCCCACGGGAGAACGCGCACGACCACCGTGCCCTCGCGCGTGAACTTCATCGCGTTCGAGATCAGGTTTACCAGCAGCTGCAGAAAGGGTACCGGATTTGAATTCCGCGGTAAAATACTGTGACGGTGGAAGAAAGGTCACCCACAACTGCGGAAACTTAACTGGAAACGAAAGAAGGTGGTCTTGCTTCGAAGGCATTGAATATCAAATGTCCCAGTAACTGTGGGCAGCAACTGTGGGGGAAAAGAGAGGAGCAATCTGCCTTCGAAGCTTCTTGGGGACCTCTGATCGCGTTCGAAGTTGGAAATGTTGCCGGGTGGGAGGAAATGCTCTTGCATGTCAACTTCGTCGTGTGGAGCTCATCGCATTGGAAAGGTTTCCAAAAAACAGTGCGAAACCGATACTGGGTTCGATGCATTTGCGGGTGGACTTGATGGCATGGCGACTACATCGAGTTCACCAGCGACTGCCAGGGATGCAGTGAATCAGTGACAACATATTCTTGGTGAACCAAGCGAAAACTTTTATGCAAATCCGTTCTAACTCATGGAAAAGTACAACGAGAAGCCCACGAAGACGACAAACAGCAGCGTTGAAACAACTTTCCGGTGTGTCAAGTACGGTGTGACCTGAGAGTAGAGAGGGTCGGTTGCAACGTGAGACGTTTTGTCCAGGATGATACAGCCACTACATGCATTGCTGCCGCTCAGATTACCATGTCGATATCAAAACCGTGACAGATCCATTCAGCTGCAACCCAACTTCAAAAGGAGAGCACAGGTGAGGACTATCCACAGACACGCAAGCAACGGTCAGCGCCGGGGTTTGCCTAGTCACCAAACACGCCGTCAGACTTCATCTGATGTCGAAGAGCTATTCGAAGCTTGAAAAACTTAAGAAACTGCAATTTCGACTCGACTCCGCACCTGCTCCAGTCGGTGCCGGTCCAAGTTATACCGCTTCCCCTCCACCGAGGGGTCCATTTCGCTGCGCAGGGTAACCCCCAGTTTCGGCTGCATCATGCCTGCCACGTGGCGCATGCACTCGGAGATGTCAACAGGCTTGGTGTACAGGGTAAGCATCCCCGCCTCTAGTTTGCGCATGTCAGCAATGTCGTCGATCACGGTCGCGAGGAGCCGGCAGCTGTTCAGGCTCTGCCGCAGCGTTTCCTGCAATTCCGGAAGATTTACATTGACGATCCTGAAAAGGTTGAGTTTAGAGCCAGCTTAGCGCACACAGGAGGCAACCCCCGCTTCTAGTTTAAGAATGTCTCCACGTCATCGACCACAACAAATCTGCAATAGCGTTTCCCGCACCAGAACAGGTTTCACCCTTTCAGACTCTTACATGGTCCAAATGAGCTTCAGAGAAGCGAAGGCCTGCCCGTCTATGGTGCTTATGTCCGTGGTGTCCTCGATCTTGTCACGAGCGCTTCGATGCACAATATCGAACCGAGAAAATCCTTGAAACGTCTCTGATATAGGGCCGGTCCAAAGAAGACGGGCACCTTCTTCCTTGAAATGCCAACGCCTGGCGTGCCAAGGGTTGCACAAGCGAGAAGCTTTTTAGGTTCTAGAGAGGAGCGGAAACTCGTTCGGACACGGGTTTTCCTTGTGCTCAGAACAGCTGTGAAAAGGACCTGATAATCTTCTAACTTGTCAGTTTCGTAAACCAATGCCGGTGCTAGAACGACACCACCACAACACACGCACTTGCGATTTCGCCTAGAGCAACCAATTGCTGTTCCCACGCTCCCACTCAGCTCAGCTCTATAACCAAACGACCGCAACCGAGACAGTCCCTAAAACCTCAGGTAGATGAGATTGGTGCCACGGCCACTTCTTACCATCGCTGACTTGCACGCTTCGTGCAAAGCCCCCCCCTCCGGCTTCCCGTGGATAATTGCCATCTGCTTCAACTGGCCGAACAAGTACTTGAGGTTGCGCATCACGCTCCCCAGGGGCTCCCGCATCTCGTGGCTCACGTAGCCCACCATCAGAATTGACACGCCCCGCGCACCGGCCTCCGCTCTAGAGGGAGAAAAAAAGAAAAGTGTCAAGAGTCTGCACTGATCCATTGAGCGACAGAAGCTCCATTATCTCGTGGCTCACGTAAGCCACCATCAGAATTGACACGCCCCGCGTGCCAGCCTCTGCCCTGGAGAGAGAGAGAAAGTCGCGTTGATGATCGTAAATTCTAGTCTGAGGTGCGGAATAACGGTCCCGCAGGACTCTCGAATATTCTATGCTGCATAACCCAGCGTCCCGCATATCGACCTGCATCTGAGGAGAGACAACGTACGATTAGTCATGGACGGTTGCCCGTAAACTGGAGTTGGAGTTTCGCAGCACGCTCGCAAGAAATATTGTCTCTCGTGGCTGACGTACCACACCGTGGTAAGTGACACACCGCTGGCATAAACCCCTGCGGGGGGATAAGGAATGTCACCAGCTACTTGGAAGCACTACCGCGTAACCCGTGTCACTACAGTCAAAGGTCAGATTGCGTTTGAGGTCGAGAGCTCCCAAGCGCTGCCGCTTCTTGTGGCTGACACGACCCACCAAAAGCACAGTGGCTTCCGCATTAAGATATTGGAAAGGGGAAAGGGGAAAGACGACGGATTTAAACGCTTCAGATTTCAAAAACGAGCTTGCGAGCCAGCCAGGAGTACCTCCATCTTTTGGCTGATATGACTCACCACTAGTTTTCATGAGAGGGTTTGAAGAAAAAGGAGTCTGAAGAAAACCCTGACATGTACAACAAGGATGATTGATTCACGCTAAGCTCGTATGGAGCAGATTGAAGGGCTCCATAAGCATGCCGGCACCTCTGCGCACTCCAAACCCCAAAACAATTCCACAACAAAACATCTGCACCAAAGCCTTGTCCGAATGGATAGCAAAAACTTCGCGTCATTACTCTCAGAAGCTGAAACCAATGCTGATAGAATTAGCTTTCTAAGCTCGCAGTTCGGAGCACGTCAAAAGGCTTCGACACCAGCAGGTGGACGCACATCACCTCTGATTTGGTTTTGTAAATATGTGGCCGTAGACTCGTTTGGAGACTCACTCTAAGCTCGCATGGAGCAGGTCGAAGCGCTCCGACACCAGCAGGTGCATGCGCATCAGCACGGGGCGAACCAGGAACACGCCCTCGAGGATCAACGTCAAAATGATGAGGGCGGCAAAGATCCACGTGATGATTAACAACGTCCGCACGTGCTCCTCCCCCAGGTCCTGAAACCGCCCCACGATCTCGTTCATCAGCCGCAGAAACGTCTCCTCGTTCGCCGTCAAAACGTCTACGTTCGCACTGATCCCCAGCGCATTGCTTGGAGTCTCTGGCGGGACGACGCCGAGTGCGTCGAACGACGTCCCGGAAACGTCTTGGAGGATCTTCGTGCCGGCTGCGTACATCATCTGAAAATTGGGTTCTACTTGTGCGAATAACCGCCGGACGGTCTTGTCTTTCGAACCGGAGAGTTGGAGAGAACCGTCGCCGAATTGGAGACCGTACTGAGCGGTATACCACTGTTGTAAGGAATACTGTAGCTGGGACTGAAAGTGCGCTGAGCTGGCGGGATCTCCGGAGCCATTGGCGCGTTCCATGGCGAGGGAGGCTTTCACAATTGCTTGGGAGAAGTAACGCTGCTTGCCTGCAAAATGGTGATTTGAGCTGGTTAGACACTGGTGCCTGCGAGGTTATTGAAGGCTTCGGTTAAGCACTCGGGTTTGTAAAACTGCGTGCCTACAGGGGCACACTTGACAATCTCTGGTTCCATGGCAAGTGAGCCTTGACAATCACTTGGAAGAAGTAGGGAGATGCGAATGTACATAGAGGAGAAGAAAGAAACGGAAGGCACATACAGTAGCTACACGACAGAAGACGACGAGATGGACACTTTGGGGGCACACATTCAGCATTTTCCAAACAGGCACTGTGGATAGAAAAGATAAGACCAATGCTTCCATGGCACGACCGAGAATCAGGCCCCACGAGTTGCGGTCTAATATCGCACTGCGGTGATTCGGTGATTCAAAAGACTTCTCGGGCGCTAGGACTGATCGATGCTTTTCATCAGACTCAAATACTTGAGTCCCTTTCTAACAGCCATGCTGAAGAAAAAGGATAAGGAATGTTGCTCTGAAGTGGAGTAGGGTATTAGATAACTCAAAGCTGCTTCAATGCCGCAAGCATGAGTGTTCATCAACGTCTGGAGATCCTACAATTCCTGTTCCTGACTTGGAGATGTTCCTTACAGCTTTCCCATGAGGTTCCAGATATAGTCCTCATCCATTTGAGTGAGTACGTTAATACCACTGTTAGTCCACTGACCCTAAAGATGAGAAGCAAAGCCGCTTCAAAGCAATGCAGTGTTATCTGCAGTCACATCAGCAATGGCCAATGTGTTTACAGCATATACAAGGCAAATATATACGGGATATATCTTTGATCCTTTGCATGCTCAATGCGGCAGCAAAGTGCCCCTTTGCCAAATTCTGAGAGAATGATATCGTGATTGAGATAAGCATACAACCACAATTCAAGCCGCCATGAGTTGACCAACCAAAAAGAAACCTCACCAAGGTGACAAGTTTCACGTCAAAAAGATGAGGGACCTGAAAGAGAAGAATGACCTTAAAAGACACCGAGGGTGTTAATAAGGCATTTGAAACTCATGGAAAAACCAGAAGTTTGCGGTTTGTTATACTTGCCTGCCGTGTTGACGTAGCGTCCATCCGTGTGCGTCCGGCTCTCATACACTTGGACAATGATCTGTCCCGTCAGGCAGAGCACCGCGATCAGCGCCGCCGACACAATGTAACTCAGTGCGATCTTCTTCACAAATTGCGGCCGCTCCACCTTGTCTTGCATCACGTACTTGGTGTGCATCTGGGCGTCCTTGTCAAACACGTGCCGCCGGACCCCCGTCCTCAACCGCTTGCTGATGCTGAATCCAGATCCCCCCGAGCCCTCGGGCTCAGCAAAGGACTCCACGCTCAGCGAGCGCTTCATAGCGCTCAGCATTGTGGCCAACTCTATCTGCGTGCCTAGGGCCTGATTTCTGAGGTGGTTCTGGCCTGCTTCTGTCGGCGATTTTAGTGCCAATGCTAGCACTCAATGCAACTGCTCAGCTTTGGTAAGTGTCTTCTGAATCCGGATTGGTCCCATCAATCTGGTTGTGGACGCAGCATTTGTCTTGCCACTGTATGTGGAAACAAGGCTGCTCTAGAAGACAGGCATTGCTTGGCAGATTTTCCTGTCTGCCACCCTACAATCATCCGGTAGAAGACTTGTGTAAAGTGCTGGTGATCAAGAGTCACCTGTACATCAAAAGAAGGCTTTTAGCATGATTGAACAACTAGACTGCATCCGCACTTTCCTTGATCCTTTAGCTTGGTATAAGTGAAAGAGCTTCGCAGATAATCGCGCAGCTATCGATCGGCAAAAATCCCCTTTAAAACCAGGATTGGACAGTTACCCAGACATCTTGTGACACCTGTCCGTAAATAAAGCAGAGTGCTTGATCTTGGTGAAGTAATGCTGAAACCAGAGCACCACCAAGTAATCTCCTGATTGCCACAAGGGGCCCATCAAACCTAATGGAACAGAAATTTGCACTGAGCAGAGCAAGCAACATTTCTTGGAGATGTTGGCACGCGACACAGACAATTCAGAAAGAAGTGTTTCCCTTACCACTACAGAGTCGTCACTGCTTGAAGGAGCTGTCACTTTGCATCAAAAATGGTCCATCCTTGAAAGCTCAAGATTTCAGAGCTGCAATAAATGTCCAAAGTATCAATATTCGCCAGCGGCAAAACGTCCAGCAGCACTAGGAGACCAGGAGACTGGAACCTCCTTCTTCCGACCCTGAGAAACTTGGTGCAACGCAGAAAAGCCAGAGAAAAGGCTGTGATACCACTTTCGGTCCTGGCTGCTGAAAAGGGTGGTGCATATGCATTCTGACATGCCGCCGCAGACGTGCAGGAAGCCCCAGTTACCGCTTGCAAGAAGCGCTAGCAACAGAAAGACTGAACGCGGTATCGACTCATGGAAATGCAGGTGTGATGCAGCACAAGATCCCTTCCAACCACTTGTCAAAATGTCTCTGGCTTGCAGACATCCTCCACATCCGGAAAAGTGACTCAGAAGAGGCGTGCTACCGGTCACGACCGGCCGGGTGTCATCACCAGCAGTGAGCTACCGGGGGTGGGGATGACCAGAGATATGAGGATCTTTTACTGTCCAAAAGTGCCTGTCCGCAGCAACACTCGGACCTACCTAGCTGGTGATTCTACTGTAGACTCCAAACGTGATCTCTTGGTGAGTACCGGCCTGTCCGTAGATGGTCCATCGTTCAGAGGCTGGCGTCCGCACAAGTCTCGTTACCACGTGGTTTACTCGAAGTCGAGACTTCCCACCCCACTCCCGAGCCCTCGGAAACTTCGGTAGGCATTGACGTCAGCCGGGGCGGTAGGCAAAGCCGCCGCAGCCGCGCTCACAGTGCATTCTTGCCAAGTTGTGAATCTGCACAAAATCGATTCATGCGCTTACCGGGAAGGAATTGTCCCAAGCAAAACCACTGTATGAAGGGCGCCACTCCGGAAATGCGAAAAGCCGTCCGTACACAAAAAGCTGACTGCATAATTGGTTGGTCAACCTCGTTGAGAATGCGTCTCTACCAAGCTCCGAAACAGTCCGCCAAGCACTGAAAAGGCACAGGTCTGATTCTACCAGAAACGAATCCAATTTGCTACGTCATCGAATCATTACCATCCGGCCGAGGCTACACCATTACCGCCTGGAGCCTGGCTGGTTAGGCCAGTATACCGTACGGGCCACGGCGTATACGACCGGTTGCCACAAGCTTAGAGTGCGTGGTAATGGTGGCTAGAGAGGAAGCCTGAC